TGCGGAATGGTACCAAATATGTGAACTTCCGGGAACAAATGATGCCGCATGTGCTCGTTACATCATACAGTTATTCCAGAGAGGCCTGCTCAAAGGGGATGATATGTCAGATCGCTTTTTCCGTCGGCTCATGGTGAAGCTCCTCCCATTTTATCATTTAGTATTAGTATGGCTAATATGTATGGCTTTTCTAGACTTCAATTCACCGTGCTTCTATTTCAGGAACTGTCAGTGTCACATTGCTTATCCTCGGAGGTGATAAATTCTGGTCCTTCTCAGTTGCATCAGGGACAACCTCTATCTTTCCTTGCTATTGACATCTTTGCCAAATTAGTCTTCTCAATACTGAAGGTAGAAATCATAATTTTGGAATAATAATTTTGGTTTTCCTTTTCTTAAGTGCCTGAAGTTAATATTGGTAACTTTTCTCCAACTCAATTCTCATTGTCCCAACTTTTCCTTCTGTTCTTTTTATATTGTCTGACGTCACAATTCTCTTTATCTCGACTTCTCTTTCTGCAAATTTTCCAGTTTTCTCCTGATCAAGGATCTAGCAAACTCTCTCTTCTGCCTAAGGTATTATCCCCCACCTGAATGATTTGAGAATTTATGTTGCTGCTCTGTGCATTTCAATACATTCCATGAATGGATTTTTACAGGTTCTTGCAGTGGCCGTGAAATTTATTCAGAAAGATGCTGAAGAGAAGAGGACATCCTTTAATCCAAGACCCTATTTTAGGTTGTTTGTTAACTGGCTGCTGGATCTGTGTTCCTTGGACCCTGTTGTTGATGGAGCAAATTTTCTGGTAAGCTGCATGTCAGCATTCAGTTTATTCTTCTGATCATGAATTAACTTCTATTCTAACTTGTTCTTTTAGGTTTTGACTGTTATAGCAAATACCTTCCATGCTCTTCAACCTCTCAAAGTTCCAGGATTCAGGTCAGTTTCTTGTCCATCACTAGGATTTCAAGCTAAACTGTTATCATTTTCTCTGTGTAAACTTCTATGTGTTTCCGTTTATAGCAGGTTCCTTCAGTTTTCTGGACCTTTTTTTATTAAGTGCATGTTCAGTTGTTCACAAGTTCAAAATGTATGTTTTTCTTCATTGTATGCTATAATGATATGGGATCTACTCTTCCATGATTAAAGAAAATGATAAAAATTGCTTATGCATTAGAGTGACATGATTCCACAAGAACAGGTTAAAAAGGCAGAGTTATGTCGAATTATAGCCTGATTGGTTGCAAAAGAATCTGAGTGGACCTTCAAATCAATGTAGTGGTGGGTCGGAGTGACTACTAGGATTTGCTTAGCTACCACAAGGGCCTAGTCTTCTGAGAATAAGGCTTAGGCTTGTGTATTAGAACATATTAAAATTGTTTCTGTACAGTTTTGACTTGTGATGAAAATTATGTTCAGACAACTAAAATAGAGCACCTAACCTTGTTCATTTACGATGCCAATATTCAGTAGGCTAATTTTGATGATTGTTCCTGGTAGGTTCGCTATTGCCTTCTTTGTTAGGAGGGATGTAAAAGTGTGTACTTCACATAATTATTGTTGTTGTTCTTTACTTTACTATAGCACCTGAGCTTGTTTGTTTTACCGTGCAATAGTCAGCAGCTATTTTTTCATAATAATTTTTAGTAGTTTCACCAACTTACCTTCTTTCTTAGAAGCATATAGAAGTCGTGGTTCACCATGACTTATAAAAAAAGTTGTAGTTCACCGTGATTATTATTGTTGTTATGTTGCTCACTTTGGAATTTGCCTGTTCATTAATTCATTTGGTTACCGACGATGTGAATTGTTTTCAGCTTTGCATGGCTAGAGTTGGTTAGTCATAGAAGCTTTATGCCAAAATTACTCACAACAAACGCGCAGAAGGGGTGGCCTTACTTTCAGCGATTGTTAGTAGATCTGTTTCAGTTCATGGAGCCATTTCTGAGGAATGCTGAACTGGGTGAACCGGTGTGCCTCTTTATATGAATAAGCTTATCGTTTATTTAATCATTATTATTCCATGCAGATGATGATGCATTCAATTTTTTCAATTAAATTTTGGCGGTATTTAGGTCCATTTTCTTTACAAAGGCACACTCAGGGTGTTGTTGGTGCTACTCCATGATTTTCCAGAGTTTCTATGTGATTATCATTTCAGCTTCTGTGATGTGATCCCCCCAAGCTGCATACAGATGCGAAATATAATCCTCAGTGCATTTCCTCGTAATATGAGGCTACCAGATCCTTCTACTCCCAACTTAAAGGTGTCTACCTAATCTTAAATTCCTATCAATATGCTTAGCCATAAAAAATAATACTGACACATTGTCTTGTGTTTCTATTTTTAGATTGATCTGCTGACAGAGATAAGTCAATCGCCACGTATTCTTGCAGACGTTGATGCAGCTCTTAGAGCAAAGCAGATGAAGAATGATGTTGATGAGTATCTAAAGGTAAACTTGAATGGAAAATGAAACAAATTTTTTTGGAGGAAATGGGTAAAATAAGGGAGTATACCCACCCGCGTGTGCTTGCAAGTGCACACATGTTTGCTTGTGTGTGTTGAGGGCGGGGGTGGGTGTGGTTCTTGAAGTAGCGAAGTTCTTTACTTTGTCATTTCATGCTCTTGTAATACAAGTATTTCTCGTGTCAATTTATGCTACAGACTAGGCAACAAGGGTCCTCATTTCTTACTGAATTGAAGCAGAAGCTGCTACTGTCTCCAACCGATGCAGCACGTGCTGGGACCCATTACAATGTCCCTCTAATCAACTCCCTTGTACTTTATGTTGGGATGCAGGTATGCCCAATATTTACCACTTCTGGACAACTGAGCATGTCTGTGAAGTGTTTTTAGTTGATTTAAATTATAACTAGATAGATGAGCGTGTAGTACTTGTGGGTACCTCGGAATGTGTTGGATAAAAAGTGACTTGAGAGTTTACAAGCAGTTTATAAACATGAGCCAAACACAGGCTAATATAATCAAGGAGGGCAATTTTTTCCTTTCCCTTTAATTTATTTCTACTCTTCTTTTATCTGCTTCACAACATATTTTAGTTTCTGAATGTCTTTCATAAATTTTCTGTAGGCTATTCAGCAGCTCCAGGCTAGAGCACCCCCTCATTCACAATCCATGACTAGTATGACCATGTTCTTGGTCAGTGCTGCTTTGGAAATTTTCCAGACTTTGATAGCGGATTTGGACACCGAGGGTTGTTATTTATTCCTAAATGCGGTTGCTAACCAATTACGTTATCCAAACAACCACACACATTACTTCTCTTTCATCCTTCTCTACCTGTTTGCTGAATCAAACCAGGTGTGTACAGTCTTTCATTTCAGTTCACTAGGTTGTATACGAATGTTACCCTTCACTTATTTTTATTTTTATTTTAAAATAAATATCGCATTCGAGTGATTTGAGAAAATTTATCAAAGAAAACAATATGAATTTGATTTCTGATTGATAACCCTGAATCCTCCTCAGTCATTTCCCACAATTATCTTCTCTGACTGTTAAGGATATTTAGACTTATACGCGAACAAAATTTTAGCTTATTTTTCTTCATTAATAGTGGCAAATACTAAATCCTCACCAAACGGGCAAAAAATGTGGAGTGTGGATTTAACTGTTTTCCAATTTGAGCAGGAAATGATCCAGGAGCAAATCACTAGAGTACTGTTGGAGCGACTTATCGTTAATAGGCCTCATCCCTGGGGTCTTTTAATTACTTTTATCGAGCTTATTAAGGTAATTTATGCTAATCTATTTCTCGAGATGGAAGTCTTTGAAACTGCAAATTGCTTTATTTTTCACACATTTCGGTTCATGAAACAGAATCCCAGGTATAACTTTTGGAGCCGATCTTTCACAAGGTGTGCACCGGAGATTGAGAAACTCTTCGAATCAGTGTCAAGATCCTGCGGTGGCCCAAAACCTGTGGATGATGGTGTAGGATCTGGTGGAATACCAGATAATATGCACTAAACTAAGATGGTTCGTACATTTTGCTTTTGTTACATGTTTATAGTCGAATGTTGTTACTGCAGATGAGCATCTCTGTGTGTACTTAATTATTATCAGATTTAACTTTTGCACCATCATGTGGCTGGTCGATAAATATAATCTGTGGTGTTTTTTGTTTTGTTTTGTTTTATGTATTTTTTTGGTGAAAACTAAATGAAAGACTCTCATTTTAAGTGCAAATTACATTATACCTGTTTTTGTCTTGAAATTCCAACAATATCGATAACCATGATCACGGAGAACCAGTTAAAAAAACTTCTATTTTTTTATTTTTCAAATAATGAAGAAATATTTAAATGATGAAGTGAGTTCGTTTAATTTTTTAGAAAATATATAATGCATAAGCATCGACCCATCAGTTCGACCACTAACTTGGTAACCGACGACTTGGCTGGTTCAATGCTCAACTGGAATTAATATCTACGGTATCAACTGTTGTAGAGACTAATTACTACAATTAAGAGGATGATAATTAGGGAATCCGGTAAAAGGGCTTAGGACAGTAGCGAAACATTCACTTAAAAAGTAATTTGCACACTTGAAACCTGCAAATTTGGTAATTGAAACAAATTTAATTCCTAAAACTATCTTGCTGTTTAAATATGATAAATGTGCATTGTTCCAAGACGAACTTTCAAAAAATTATCCGAACGTGTTAAAGGCAACTTTTTCCTCTGAAAGTAGATTTGAATTTTTAAAAATTGTGGTAACTGGACGCTAAACATGGCAAGATGAGAAATGGAGATAACTCTTAGCCCCTGTTTAGTTTTGCTAAAAACAATTTTTTAGTAAATTTTGATAAAAATTGATGAAATATGTGAATGAAAAAGTTTATTGAAATGAACTCGAGGACTAAATGGGGCTTATAATCGGCAAAGAGGTTCTCAAGTCTGGTACGCGATAAATGAACAACTCCACTCTTATCATATGATTGTCATGAAAATTTGGATAAAGAAAATCAGAGCATACGCTAAATCAAAATACAATTCAAAAGGTTTGGACATTAAACATTGTCAGAGATACATATGATTGAATAATTTCCCATCACATTATTCCAAACCTAGGTATCTGTTAACAACAAGCGTTCCAAAATCTATCAAAAAAATATTCCCATCAAAAGCATGCTAAGGAAATAATATATGTTCTATTTGTCACCAACATCGAAATCTCAATCTTAAGCCTCTCTACGAACAAAGTAGAGCTTACCCATGACATGTAGAATAGCAACAAAAGCTATGAAACCAATGCTCATAACGAGCACAACATTGGGAGAAATCTTAAGTCCAGGAGCATCATCGGTGTAGAACTGGAGCATGGTCCCACTTGCCCCACCAGCAGCTCCACCACTAGTGGTTCTCCTCCGACGCATGCTAGCAGCTGCTGCAGCAGCAGTTCCTCTCTGGGGACCTCCACCTAAAGCCATTTCTGCCAACCATTTCAATCTTTAGAACCGGATTTTTAAAATAATATGTTGCAGATACAAGTGTTTGTGCGCACATAGGCATGTTTCCATAAGTGATTGCAACCTCACCGATGGATAGAATACAACAGCATACTTAGGTTAAGAAGTAAACATAGGAGATAAATGCAAGGAATCAAGATTGTCAGTGCCTTTGTTCAAATCTCCAAGATTGGTTACTTAGGTTAAGTAGTAAACATAGAAGATATATGCAAGGAATCAAGATTGTCAATGCCTTGTTCAAATCTCCAAGATTGGTCTTCAGCTACTTGAGACCTTAAGCCCATGTTTGATCTCCATTATCAAAAAACTCATTTTCCCACAAATTCATTTTCAACCACACATTTCCCCATAAAATATTTTTGCATGCAAACCCAAATATTTTCACTTTTTAACCACACATTCTCCAAAAAAATAACTATTACAAAACTCATTTTAACAAAAATGGGGTTCAAACACATACAAATTGGGGAAAAAAGTATATACACACATACAACAGATTTCTAACAAATCAGCTCAAAAACAGGACAAAACATCCCCCTCTATTATACACTGTGAAGCCAGAATAGCAATCACTATACTTGTGGTCTTTTGATGAATTTATGTTTCTTCATTATGTTGCACAAGATTAATAGCCAATTAATTTTCTTTTCAAGATGTCAAGTTGCCACCGATAGAGGTATCCACGCCCTGTCTCTGCTCACTCCATTATGTGGGAATGAATGTGTCAATACAGAGCTGGTTTTTATATAAAAACTGAAAAGACCAGAAACAAATAAAATGAAACTAAAAGTTTATAATTTAATAATTATTAGTCAATTACTATCCTTCTGATAATTTGAACAATAACCTGATCTAAATTCAAAAGCTTCAGTAGGATAATTTCTCACAAATCCTACAAGGCAAACACCAATTTTCAATTCAAACTCAAAAGCTATACCAGACTTTTCTCATTACATTTTCAGTTTCGCATGCGTGAATGCCCAAAGCAGGATTTAGGTAAATCTACACAAACAATATGCATCAACTCGAGTTCCATGTATAGAAAGTTCAAGGATCTCTAATTACGCAGCATGCAATGAATAAAAATTTGAACTTCATCTTCCTGCAACATTTCCTTTTCTCAAGTTTCATTTTCATACATATAGGAGTATTCTTATATCAAATCTTAGACGTTAACATAAAAAAGTCAAATAATACAATAATCTACTCAAAACTAACGCGAATCCAATGTCATAAAAAAACAGGGAAAAAAAATGAATAAATACAATGCGTATTTATTCATTTCGATTAGAAACGCTCAGATCTCAATTTCCAGATCTAATAACACAGATCAAAATCTTTCCACCCCCAATGGAATATATTTCAAAATAGAAACTAAAAAGCCAGCTACTAGATCCTCGCACAAGCAAGGAGCCACCTGGGGTGGATTTTGGTCCTGGGTATTTCACCTATTACACTAAAGGGGCGGCCAGTTTTTAAGGCAAGGAGAAAACCTTAAACAACCGCTTCAAAAATTCAAGAGACTGTTGTCGAAAAATCACTACGGATAGAGAAAGATTACCGTCAAGAAACAACAATTTTGGAAAAATAAATAAATTATAAGGGGATGAGTTGAAATTAAATCATTCACAACAATCAGATCGATTGCCATTTTATCATATAAACCCCGTTTCTACACTAATAAAAATCTGATACTACCTTCAAATTCTGTTGATGGAGGAGTTGAGAGGAAATCACTTCAATACAAGATAAATTGGTGCCGATGAATATGTCTCCCTTTTTGCCTCTCCCTCAATTTTTGAGTAATTCCTTGGAAGAAAAACTTGGCCGCTTGTATAAGACAAACAGGCCTGGGTTGTAGTTGGAGACGCATGCCTTTTAATTGGGCCTTTACGAGACTTTTTCCCATTCTAATCCAATTTTTTCAGATGGGCCTCATTCAAGTAAGTAGTAATGAAATATGGATATTACAGCTGACCCAGGTTTGAACTTTCAAATTCAAAATTAAGATTTACTAGTTTCTGTCTTATTATTTTTTTCCCCAAAAATAAGATGATAATTGATATTTTAAATATTAATAATATAATTACAAAATATTTAATTCATCCCACCTAACCCATACCTAACCATCCTACCTTATATCATCTCTCTATTGCAACCAAGAAGCCATTGCGGAGAGCGTCGTCGATGACACCACTATGATATCTGCTGCTTCTAGTGTTCTTCCTTTTCTTATTTCTAATTTTGGTTTGTGAGGTTTGATTGTGGTGTGATGTGGGTGCAGTGATGTGTTGTGTGGTGTTGTGGGTGGTGGTGGTGTGCGGTGCGAGGTGGTGGTTGTGTGTGTTAGGGAGAGTGTTCGTGATCATTTATTTGGATTGCCATGGAGGTGCAGGTGATGGTGTAGATGGTGATGCAAGCGATAGTCTTAGACGATGGTGTGTAGATAGTGGTTGTGGTAGTCACGATGGTGCAGTTGGTTTGTTTGAGATGGTAGAATTGTGGTGTTAATATCGGTTGTTGTGACATGGTTTTGTAGATGGTGAAGCAAGTGATGGCGTTACGCAGTGGTAGAAATGATGTAGATGGTGATGTAGGTGATAGTCTTTGATGGTGGTGGCAATGGTGTAAATTGTGGTTGCGATGGTCACGGTGGTGCAGTTGAGATGGTAGAATTGGTGGTGTTCATGTCGATTGTCATCGGGTGGTAGTGGTGGTTTAGGTGGTCTGCCGAAAGCAATGGTGAGATAGTGGTCACAAATTATTTGTTTGATTGTGACAATAAATAATATATTAATGAAATACACAACTTGTGATGAACAACTAATGTGTAGGATAAAAATATGTTAAATTGTGACCAATAATTTGATAATTTGTGACTCATTAATTTGTAATTATGTGACCATTAAATAAGTTGTGATTTAATAAATTTTTTTATTTATGATTGAGGAATAACATGTGACCTAATATTTGATACATTTGTGATCGAAAAATAAGTTTGTGACCTATAACATTTGTACTTTGTGACCAAATTGTATTACATAAATAAAATTTGATTTTTTTGAAAATTCTAACCCTGTTCCATAGTTTTGAAATAGGTTATTTTTATGCTCTTTTACATGAAATTTTCTCTATGGAAAATTACAGGGGCCCAAAGATTTAGAGATCTCAATTCATAACTCACAGGTCATCTTTACAAATTTAAAAAACAGAGGTTTTTAGTTAATTGATATCTATAAAATAAACATTTTTACTACATAAAAAATTCAAAAATTAATTAATCTATCGTACAAGATTTCAATACCAAACCCTAATTATCTCTTTCCTTTCTTTCTCTCTCTAAACTTCTTACCTCTTTCTTTTTTTATCGGCAAAGTTGGATTGTATACGGCGTGAGATCTTTGGAAATGATTGACACACTAGTGTTGTGTGGTGTAGTTGAAGATGTCGCTAAATCCAAACAGTTGTGCGACAGAGATTGACTATGGTTCAAGTACGTCAATGTGCGACATCGTTGCTTGTAGTACTGCATGTAGCAAGGCATCGGTTGCACTGCTCGTGCAGTACTATAGACAGGGGTCCGTTTCTTCAATTTTTTTCTTTAGTCACAAGTGGGTGTTGGATGGTGTTTGGTTGTGGTTGTTGGTTTTTGGGTGGTATTTGGTTGGTTGGTTGATTGTGGCTGTGTAAAATTTTGATGCTGTTTTCAATGTGTGTAAGATTCCAATTGGTGTAGGTAGTGAAGTGGTGATGATGGTGAGTAATATTCCGGTGAGATCAAGGAAAAGCAGCGAATTGGGTCGCGAAAGAGCTCATTTTTGGGAATCGATGGATCAAGAACAACCATCAGATTTGGTATTTGATTTTTTGATCTTGTCTTACCAAGGCTATGACATGGAGGTGACGGTGGGGTGTGGGTTATCTAGTGGTTGTGGATTGAGGTATAGTTGGTGGTGATTATGGTGACGATAGTGCAATGTAGGTGGGTGGTGTATGTTGCACGGGTGATTTTTGGTGCAAGCAATGTGATGATTGTGCATTGTAGGCAGTGAAGGCGATGCTGCATTGTAGGTTGTGTTGGTGGCGACGACGAAGATGTCTATGGCGGTGGAGTAGGAGATGTGATCAATTATTTTACTATTGTGACCAATAAATTGATTGATATTTTATCAAAAAGTAATATGTAATATATAAAATTTTTGATTTGTAATTAAAAATAATTTGTGACTAATAAATAATGTGTTGTTAACTTAAACCAATAATTTGATAATTTGTGACTTAGAAATAATTTGTGAGCAATTAATTTGATATTTTGTGATCATGAAATAAGTTGTAACTTATAAAATTTATGATTTGTGTTCAAGTAATAATATATAAACTATTAATTTGATAAATTTGTGATCGAGAAATAAGTTTTAACATATAAAATTTGCGATTTAAAATAATGTGACCTATAAAATTTTTGAATTGTGATCAAGAAAAAATTATAAGCAATTGATTCAATAGTTTGAGACCAAAATTTATGGAATTGTGTCTTTAATATATTTAATTAATAAAGTATATTTTAATCAATTATCTCCTAAACAAAATTTAATAATATCCGATTTTTGGAGTTTTAAATCTTATTTTTTTGATTTTGAAATAGGTCATAGTTGAACTCTTAGATATATCATTTTTCCTAGGTAGTATATAAAGAAAGACAGAGTTAAATTAACTCCTACTTTTCTTATCATTTCAAAAATTAGAATGCAACTTTATTTATTTATTTTTTCAAAAATCAGTTATATATTACGTTTGGACTCCATTTTAATTTTAATATATTATCTTCTTTATTTTTTTTTTATCATTTCAGCTATACATTCTTCAATAAAATAATCACACGTAAATCCAAATATTTTCCTTCTTTTTTAATCATACATTCTCCAAAAAAATTACCATCTCAAAATTGTTGTAAAATAATGAG